CTCAGGTTAAGAACAATTTCAAGTTAAGAATGGACCTCCAGAACGAATTAAGTTCTTAACCCGAGGTACCACTGTAAGTATCTTTCATGTTTAAACTAAAGTATAAGGAAAATATTGACTGTTTCAAATATAGTTTGGGCATACTAAAGAAAACACACTGAAAGGGACACTAGTTGCTTACATATATTAAGCTACAGTGTATCTCAATTATATATTTTCACACTTGCCAGATCTGAAATCTAGCATCTTCTTTCAATTTCAGTTTTCCAGAAGCAGTTTTATTCTACATCATGAGTTAACTTTGCATTTTCCTCAGCCACAAATCCATGGGCACAAAAAGTCATGCCCCCTCATCTGCATTTTATTAAACATTATTATTAAGATTCCCACAAAACTTATTTATAGCTTTCGACCCTGTAATTCACAATTATCCCAATCACTCTGGCTCTTCTATAAGTCAAGCATTTCACACCTCCTTGATTGATTGATTAATTAATTAACTAACTAACTAACTAGAGAGGTTCCAGCAATCTTCAACCCAATTATTTTAACTGTTCCATGCTGAGATCTATCAAGAATTCAAAAATCAAGCAGATGGGGGCTAAAAGTGTGTTTGGCTATTTTAAACAAATCTCATGATTTCAAGAGACTTTGAATGTCAGCTAAATGAATGGTCCAATAAATATGGGGTGAAGATATTACTTAGGTTTCATGAATACTTAAACATGTGTACATCAAAGCTATAGAGGCCACTCTCAGTTCCTCAGACATGCCTTTATCTTCATGCATTGAGAACATTAAAATGGCAATTGTCTGCTTACATACACACAACTTGGGTTGGAATAGAATTCCTATAGCTGTTAGAAGAAAAGGGACTATACAGGAACATAGAAAACTACCATAATACCAAGTCAGATCACTGGCCCATCTATACTGTTGCACACCACCAGTGATGGCCTTGGGGTCTCAAATTTCAGCGGTACCCTCCATTCTAAATCATAGCTGTGGCATCCCCAACAGTGCCTCTGAGGTTCTGCGCACAGTGCAACTGAATTGGCTGCACTCCCCTAAATCTGCCTCTGATACCACCCCATGGGCATAGCCAAGCGGAGGCAAGGGGGCAGCTGCCCCCCCCAATCAAGTAAATCAATAAAAATGTGAAATATACTCAGAGTCGACAGTGGATTTCATGCTCTTTATTCAGCTCATAGTGGTGAGAAGGAATGGAAGTTTCCCCAAAGTATCTGCTTTATATACATTATTTACACAATGGGCTGCACATGATTGGCTAATTCCGGAATTCTCCTGTAGGCCAATCAGGTTGTGGATTCACTTCCATCTGGAGCTGGATTGGGTGGCTCCTGAAGACCAATCATACTGCTGCATTGTTCTAGGACCAATCATGCTGCATTCTGAATCCTATTGTTCTAAGACCAATCAGACTGCTGCATTTTGGATCCTATTGTTCTAGGACCAATCAGACTGCTGCATTTTGGATCCTATTCAACTCAGTACATAACAAAATGCTTAACAAACTGAGGTTCTGCCCCCACAACATGAAGCCTGGACATGATATTGTTGCTACCCCTACAACCGCCAATGGGAAGAGAGAAGATGAGCTGTCTTACCAACAAATCAGAAGACAGAAGGGTTTCAAAACAATTTAAACTCCAGGATAATACATAGATATGCAGCAGATATCTAACTTGTTAAAGGTTGGTTACTCAAGTTGGCTGTGAGCATAGTAGGACTAGATTAAGGTTCCCAGACATCCCTGATTCCCTGGACTTACAAATCAGTCCCCATACAAAATCCATTGAAGTTGAAAAGTGTCCCCGGATTCATTGGGAAAAAAATCTGGTAACCTTAGACTAGATGACCCTCAGTATCCTTTCCAGCTATACAGTTCTATGATTCTATGATCTTTCAGATCAGTCAGGACAGGATTAATTCATCCCAAACCATAACAAAATTAAATTCTTTTTTTGTTGTTGCCATTATTTAAATTTGAAAAACTTTGCAAGTTTCAGTCTTCACCATGAAAGACAAGATAGCTCAGGCATGAAGGAATATATTTCTTAATCAGAGGATAAATCACTCTCATTGCATTGCACAGGTTGCATGAAATTTGAGCCAGTTTATCATTTCCAGGAGCAATGTAATTTGAATTTGTTTTTATTGCATTAAACTTTGTTTCCTTATATGAGATGGCTCCTTACACTAACAAGTTTTGGGGCACAGCAGTAAAGACGAGCATTAATATTGGCTGTGGATGCCCACCCAACACAATTTATGGCCCTGATTTACTGATCCAGATCATGCCCAATCCAGATCGTGCCCCAGAAAATACAGATCTCCAAAAATCCCATTGATTTCCAGTGGAAAGCCAAAGCAGTCCCAGCTTTCTCATTTTATCACAAATGGAATCTGCAGATATGGTAGCCCCTATAGAGTGGATTAACTGTTCCAAATTTCAGACAGGTAGCTCCAGGTGTTCTCATGTTAATCACCTTTATTTTTTTATGTTTTCAAAGTAAAATGGCCATTTTTATTTTTTATTTTCCCCCACGTAGGGGCATGGAATTTTACAGGCCTGCTAGCCCCTACAACAGGAGATTCAGACTGCCAAATTTCAGCATTGTAGCTTCAGGGGGTTTTATGCTATCCATCTTCAAAAAAGGTTATTTCTTTTTTAAAAAGACTGTTGAGTACTTAATTCTTCTGTGTTTGGCCTTTCACTTCTATGACGGTTTTGAAAAACAGTTCCCTGGAGGCACAACTGTCTCCAGGCAGAAAAAAACAGATGACACCCTTGCCTGGCAGGCACTGAGATGCGTCTCCTGAGTGATGCAGGGCTGATTTGCAAAGCAGCAAAGTGGGCAGGCATGTAGACAGGCAGAGCAGCAGCAAGCAGAGAGGTGCATGGCATGGGCAGGCAGCATAGGCAGGCAGCAGGGGGGAAATAACATGCAAACAAAACAACCCAGGACACTTTTGAGGGGCAGATTTCACAGCCATGAGAAAAAATAAACCATGGAGCCACAAGAAGATGCTGTCACATAGGAGGCAGATTGCCAGCAGCAGGAGCAGTGAGTGAGAAGGGAAATAAAGTATTTTATTTAGTCATTGCCTAAGTGTTCGCCTAAGTGTTAGGATATAAAACAACAGAGTATTGAGGATTGATTAGGAAAGGATTGGCATAAGCAGTGCTTTCCCCCCATAAAATTACTGTATTGGCCCGAATATATTATATAAGCCATACCTGAATATAAGCCGCACCTTTAAAATTGGAGGGCGGGACGAAGAAAAAATACCTGAATATAAGCCACTCCATTCCTTGCTGCTTCTGGCTACATACTGGGGGGGCGGGTGGAGCTGTGCTGCGTTTGCCAGTAGCCTTTCCCCTTCCTTGCTCTCTCCCTTCCCGGCCTTGGGGGAAGAGGACAGGGGACTACACGCGGGGCGGGCACTGCTTTGCCCTGCACTTATGGCTACATACCATACGGTCACGAATATAAGCCGCACTTTAAATTTGGAGAAAAAGTGAGGCTTATATTCAGGCCAACTCACCATGGAGTTGTTACAGTAAGTGCCACACTTTTTAACAACAACAAAAGCGGTGCCAGTACTGTGTACCCTTGAGTACCCCCTTGAAAAAACAGCACTGGGCATAAGGGGATATAAACCAGGGTGGCCCGCAAGGCCCTTTTTCGGTGGTCCTTGCGAAGTACCAAAGGAGCATCATTATCGGCAATGGGAATGTTGATCTGAGATCCCTCTCCGCAGTTAATGCCTGGTGGCAGCAGCAATAAATTCTCTGTGCACGCACAAGATGGCACTTTAGGGCAGGCATAGGCAAACTCGGCCCTCCAGATGTTTTGGGACTACAACTCCCATCATCCCTAGCTAACAAGACCAGTGATCAGGGATGATGGGAGTTGCAGTCCAAAAACATCTGGAGGGCTGAGTTTGCCTATGCCTGCTTTAGGGGTTCGGCACTGAGCAAGAAGTGAAAGAGGAAGCTGAGGTAGGACCATAGAGAAGTGAGAGGGCCAGCGACGAGATGCCGGAGGCCACAGCGACGAGATGCCACATGCATCTTCTTCCTTTCTCAAACCACTTTCCAGCTGGGAGCTTCACACTCCTGGAAAAAGGGAACCAAAGGACCCAGAGATCCTTGGGCAGCTGCAGCTCTCCCTGTGAAAGGCGCCCAGTGAGAGAGGTGGTCACCCAGCAAACTTCATTGCCAAGTGAGGATTTGAACCCTGGTATCCTAGGCCTTAGCCCAACACCTAATTATTAGAGCAGGGGTAGGCAACCTAAGGCCCAGGGGCCGGGTGCAGCCCAATCACCTTCTCAATCCGGCCTGAGGATGGTCCAGGAATCAGCGTGTTTTTACATGAGCAGAATGTGTCCTTTTATTTAAAATGCATCTCTGGGTTATTTGTGGGGCACGTGAATTCATTCATTATTATTATTTTTTCAATATATAGTCTGGCCCACCACGTGGTCTGAGGGACGGTGGACTGGCCCACGGCTGAAAAAGGATGCTGACCCCTGTATTAGAGTCTAATTTCTACATTCGAACTGCGACACCCCAATGGCTGCTGCTACACTGGTATTCTCCACAGCAAAATGTGTCAAGTAGAGAAGGAAAACGTCCATGTACAGGAGTCTTATCTGTGCATATGTTGTATTTTTGCCCAGTTTTCCCTGAGGCATTACATGGGGTTCTTTAGGGGTTTTTTTTAAGACTGGTCTGTCTTTCGTTGCCCCAATCCCTCGACGACCCAAAGGAAGCTTGGCGTGCGCTCCCTGCTCCTTCCCCAAGGAAGCCCCTGTGTTTATGCCACAGATTCCCCAACGGTAAAAATGCAGCAAGTCCTCGTGCTCGACAACTGGAGGAAGCCTTCAACAGGTGCCGTGAGGGAAACTTGGTCTCAGAGTCTGGCCATGGAAACTCTTCCTTTTTCATCAAACACCGAGCCCATGCAGTGCTGCCTCCATCTTGCAGTCAGAGCGGGCGCGCAAAACAATCCTCTGGAAAGGCGCAATCGAGCTCCCCTCCCGCAAAAGGAAATCACCTCAGAAAAAGACGCGGGGACTGCGTGGTCCTTGGGGGCGGGGATGTTTGGCGTAGGCATTAAAAGATATCTGCATGCTGGTGGGTGCCGGCCGGCTGAGGAGCCGCGTTTGGCTGGGGATCCCCCTGAAGCCCCAAAGAGCGCGCGTGACTTCAACCCTTTAACCCCGCGCGCGAGAGAGGTGAGAAAAGTGCGGCGCGGGAGGCAGGCGCGAGAAGGAAGGAGGCGCTGTGAAGCTCGGGCCAGTCAGCTCAGGCGGCGAGGAAGGATCCCCCCGGAGAGTGGGAGTGAGTTGGCCAGCCGCCGGCGGCGATATAGGCGCCCCCTCCTCTGCTCCAGGCAGCCACTTACGAGCGGCTCACTTGAGCGGCGCTTCGAGCTCGCGCGGGGCGGGAAAGAAGCCGGACTTCTTTCCGAAGAGCATAGAGCTGGCCGGGTCCCAAGCCTTTGAGGTCCAGCCAAAGGCTCTTTTGCATTTCTGGGGAAACGGCTCCCCGCCCACCCACTCGGCGCAAAATTGCAGCGCGAGGCGAGCAACCTCCGCGGGAGTGACTGAGCTCGGAGGGGAAGCCTCCGGAGTTCAGACGTAACCAGCAGAGCTAGGTGAGGGTGAGGTTGCTCGCGCTTGGAGCGGCGGGACTTTCTCCCTCTGCTCTCCGAGCCCGCCGGAACAGGACCAGCAGCGACAAGAGGCTGTGGCGCCTTCTCCGGCTTGCAGACCGGCTGAAGCCTCGGGAAGTTCTCGGCGCCTATTTCTCGAGAGAAGGGAAACTTTCGCGTCAGTTCTTCTCTGCCTCAGTTCCACGTCGGTGAGTAAGTGAAACGCGGGAGGATGGCGGAGCGGGGAGATGACATGCACGTCCACGGGGGACGTCTGGCTTTCCTCGGGGGTTGTTACCATCTTTTTCTACCCTACTGAGGGAATGGTCTGGAAAGCATTTGGTAGAGAGGGAGAAAAGAAACTGATGTTTGGGACAACCAAGCCTTTGAGTTGCAGAAAAGGGCAGCGGGGTTGGGAGCGAGGGGGCAGAAGGGGCAGGACAAACATTTATTTGGTTCATAAAAACAGTGAGGGCTGGTCCATAAGGGCCCGTGGGGCACTACTGCCCCACCGGCTTCCGTCTGCCCTGTCACGTTTCCCTGCAGGGAATTAAGATTCGTTAGTTCCGCCTGTCACTGTCTTAGCCTCTGCCTGACGTTTGCTTCCCTGCCTCCTGCTCTACCATTCTCACTGGGCAGAAGCTGTAAGGAACAAAATGGTCCAGGCTGCAATTCTAAAAAGATTTATCAAGTAACATCATCATCATTTTTAAATTTGTATACCGTCTTTCTATCTTACAATACTCAAGGTGGTTTACAAGCTGAAGAAAAAAAATGTACATCTTATAACAATCTAATGCAATACAAAAATGGGATAATAAAACATAACATTAAAATAGGCAACCTACATCAAAAAAGTAACATTCAACAATCATTAGAATAGTATAAAATAATACCAACATATAAAAGTTAAACAGAAATCCACTCAACAGTTGCAATAAATAATATCTAAAATATAATCAATAAAACAACAGCAATATGCCCCATTAAGCTTGGTGAGACTTCTGAGTAAACCTACTAAGGCCTGCGCTTTCGGTTTGTCTTCATGGGGGCTTTTTGAGAATCAATAATGATCTCTTGCATTGGCTTTCAATGACTTCTGCCCCAGTTAGGACTCAACTAAATTATATGGGAAATGTATGGTTGCGTTTTCCCTGTCTGTGGTGTGTAGGATCTTAAAAAAATCAAATCAATAACAGCAGCAGGCACCCTCAGATCAGGAACTCAGCAAGGGAGAAAGGTGGCTGAATCCCACTCCATTATTGCCCAAATTAACACATACCCCAGTTGGTATTTATCCCCAGAGTGAAGTTCCTTTTGTGCCAGAGAGCCTTCTTTCCAACCACACAAATCTTTAAAATGATGCCACGCTTTCAACATGCTTCCCACATAACAGCATTTTAGAGAGTGGTGATAGATTACTTTGATTTGGAAGACACCAGCTTACGTTATAGGATGCTAGAAATCCTTACACTTCAATAACCTGGGTGGTCTCAGATTTTCTTGTGGGCTGTGATGGCGACTAAAAGCAATGACACCAGAATTTTATCTCCCACCCCAAAAGTGAGGGGCAAGGCCCTTCCTTGTTTGCCTCCTCCGAGAGAGGTCTGGAGAGTGGCAACACAAGAACCATTTTTGCAGAGCCTCTCTGTTTATGGAATGCTCTCCCCAGGGAGGTTCAGCTGGTGCCTTCTTTATACACCCGGCCTTTGCCTGATCAACATCCTATATACCGTATTTACGCAAATCTAATGCGCCACCGAATCTAATGCACACCTCAATTTTCAAAACCTTGAAACCAAAAAGTATTTGCTGGCGAATTTAAATGCACCATAAAACTAATATGCATCCTAATTTTTGCGACAAAATTTGGCCCAAAAAGTGTGCATGACATTCATGTAAATATGGTACATTTTGTTTGTGGGCTTTTTTGTTTGTTTTTGTTTTTATTATGTACAGTGGTACCTCAGGTTACAGACGCTTCAGGTTACAGACTCCGCTAATCAGAAATAGTACCTCGGGTTAAGAACTTTGCTTCAGGATGAGAACAGAAATCAGGCGGCGGCAGTGGGAGGCCCCATTAGCTAAAGTGGTACCTCAGGTTAAGAACAGTTTCAGGTTAAGAACACACCTCCAGAAGGAATTAAGTTCTTAACCCGAGGTACCACTGTATTTTCTGTTTTTAGCTTGTATTTTCATGCTGGGAACTGCCCTAAGATTTGCAGGTGGAGAGCGGTATATAAATTTAATAAATAAATATTTTTTAAAACAAACAAACAACAAACTATATTCTCATAGCTTGCCCTAATTCAGGCAGGATCATAGCAAGGCAGTTCTGCAAATATTTGTTCACAGGTACGAGGAAGTGCAGTTTAGAATACTGCTGCTCCGTCTATTTGGTGTTGTAATGAATTATTTTCTGCATGTGATGAAGTAGTCAAATAGCTTCTTGCCTACAGGCATGCTAGAATCAAAGATTATATATAGCAGGGCTGGAGAACAGAGTCATCCACCCACCCATGTTATTAAATTCTAATGCATATCATCCCCAACCAGCGAGGTAGTAGTCAAGGGAAACAGATATTAAGAACATAAGAACACTGTGCTGGATTAAGCTAACTGCCCATCTAGCTCAGTATCCTGTTCTCACAGTGGCTAACCAGATGCCTGTGGGAAACCAGGGAGTAAAATATGAGCACAAGAGCACTCTCCCCTCCTGTGGCTTCCAGCAACTAGCAATCAGAAGAATTGCTGCATCCAAATGTGGAGGTAGAATGTAGATCATAGCCATCATGGCTAGTAGCCATTGATAGTCCTGTTCTCCATGAATTTGTCTAATCGTCTTTTAAAGCTATCCAAATTGGTAGCCATGCTGGGGGAGCAAGTTCCATAGTTTGACTATGTGCTGCATAAAGAAGTGCTTTCTTTTATCTGTCCTAACAACATCAGGAGGCCCACTCTGATGTACAGCATCATCCCAAAAGTGTTGGGCCTCATGGCAAAGTCTTAGGTGAAATCAGCTCTAAGAAGGTTACTGGAAATATGCCCTCTCTAGTTTTTGAGCAAGTGTCCAAAATCATAGGCAACATAAGAGTAAACAAAAGTTGAAACTTAGTACAAATTTTTCAGCTAGTGTGCATTGTGAGTATACACAATATACACCAGGGATGGTGAATTCCTGGCCTGCAGGCAGAGTCAGTGAAATAAAGCCTAGTTTTGCCCCTGCCTGCAGGCGTTATACAGCCTGCCACGCCTTTTAAATAGGCTTGCCCAACCCTCAACTGGATATGCCAGTGGCAACAGCATCAGTCGTATCACCAGCAGCACTGAAGAGTGCTGGAGTTAGGAAATAAGAATGAGTCTTCTAGTCTGTGCCAATATTTCATGAATGCTGTTGATGGCCAAATACTCAGGAAACATTTAACAATTTTTATTTAACAAAAATTATATATTGTTTGATTGTAAGAAACCCTCTAAGTGGAGCAGTTCCAAGCACTTTTTCCTTTTTCCCAAGTGTTCTGATCTGCTCCACAGTGACTCTTAATGACCAGGGGTAGGCAACCTAAGGCCCGGGAGCCGGATGTGTCCCAGTCACCTTCTAAATCTGGCCCGCAGTCCAGGAATCAGCGTGTTTTTACATGAGTAGAATGTGTCCTTTTATTTAAAATGCATCTCTGGATTATTTGTGGGGCATAGGAATTCATTCATTTCTCCCCCCCAAAATATAGTCCAGCCCACCACATGGTCTGAGGAATGGTGGACCGGCCCACGGCTGGAAAAGGTTGCTGACCCTTGCTTAACGACAGTGGTATGGCACCAAAGCAGAGAGCACTAGGGGACGAAAATCATGTCATCCCTGGCACATTTGAAAGGACAACATCAAAGTGCAAATTCCAAAGCGCTATGGGCCAAGAACAGGGAAAGGCCCTGAGACACAGAGAGTGCAAAATCTGGTGGTGGAATTGAGCAGATCTTCACAACTTGCATTTGCAGCGGGGCTTAGCCAAAAGTTCCCCTCATCCCACCTATCAGTGAGCCTGAAATAAAATACTGGGTTGTAGTCAACTAACATTTATTCAGAGTAGTCCCATTGAAATGAATGGATCTAATATCAATATCAATGGGTCTACTCTGAGTAAACATTAGTTGGCTTCAAACTATTGTGTGCATATGCTCTCGTGTGGGTGCCCACATTCTTGGAGAGTGGCATACAGCCCAAGAAGTGGGTTTCCAGAAGGCAGTGTGTCCCTTTGGCTGAAATTCACTAACCCCGAAAAACATTAATATATGCTGTAGATTTGTTGCAGATTTGCAATCCTAGAAGAGTTAAAATCCTAGTGCTAATCTCGATGTTCTTTCACAGTCCAACCTGTCTGGTAATAACAGGAAGTAGAGAAAATTAGTTCCGAATTAGTTGATGTGTTTATTCCATGCAAAATTTAACTTTGCAATGATAATTCACTACAGAGGAAATAATGGTAATAACTCTGTGAGCAAGCATAATTACTCTCTGCATTTTTTAAATCACGCAAATCCCTAATTGTGTTTGCTCAGAAAATAATCCACAGTTGAATTGCATCATTGGTTCCCACTCACTTCTGCTGCCACTAAAAAAGAAAATACAAGTACTTCCTTGCTGTCTACCACATCTCCCCTACAGATTGAGTCACCATTTTTCCTGCCATGGCTTTGACTCAGAAAAGCAGTGATTGGGCATCTTAGACACAATGGCTGCAAAAATGTTGTAGACTGAAAAAAAAAGTGTCATCTTCCATATGCAAGTGTAATTTGCTATGATATCTCATATGTGTACACATGCTCCACATGTACATTAAAAATGTGGAAAAAGCAGGACTCCACCCTGATATTCCCAGCCCTGACGTAACCCCAAATATCTGTGCATTGAATAGAATGTGTATAAAATAGTGATTATGTATGCACAGTTGTATACATACAGTTCCACATGATTCAGACCCCTGTGCAAATGAGGGCCCTAGTCTTATAAAATGCCTATACAGGTAGCTCCTTTTTACTTGTTCCTCTAAACAGGCAAATGTTTGTGGTGCAAGATGCATGGCACCATCAAGTTTGGGGGCAGCCAGTGGTGAATGATCCAAATCCCATCCAAATATTTAGTGACTATGTCAAGCACATATGAGCAGAGCAGGGGTAGTCAATGAGGCACCTTCTAGAAGTTGTTAAACTACAACTCCTATTATCCCTTCCCACTGGCCATGTTGGCTGGGGCTGGAAGGAATTTGTGTCCAGCAACATCTGAAGGGCACAATGTTTGTCTATCCCTAAAACAATTCCAAAACTCAGCATAAAGTATTAGGAAGTTGCCATTATTATAGCCTCTTTTCTTTTTGGACAGGATTACTATGAAACCACAGCAGTGGAATTTAAGGTGAGGTTTTTGTTGTACTGCACACTACTTAATTTCTTGAGTTTTCAAAAGAGCTTTGCATGCCGCCTCCTTTCTGCTATTTATCTCCATGGCTATTGCTTCTGCTATTTCTTGGACCCACCAGTCCTCCCACACTGGAAGTTCACATTGGTGGAAAGGCAGAAGTTTTCCTGGCTCTCGCCCCAACACATGCAAAAAGGGCTCTTACTTGGAAGGTCAAGAGAGATCTTTATTCAGGCAAGTAACAATACAAGCACAGCAGAAGATACAGGGCTCAGGAGTCGTGGTTCAGGAGTAGGGCAAGAAGCTCAGAACTGGATGGAAGCAATGGAGATGTCCAACAAGCTATCCATTGTTCTGCAGCCTCTGACCTGCTTCTCTGTGGGGTCTGGCTTTGGACCAGGCCACAACATGAAAGTTACGCCATGGTTTGACTAACTGTTATGTGTGAAACTGGGCTCATAAGTTTATTTCCCTCAAGCAAACAATGAGTTGTAAGCCAAGAACAAACCTTATGATTTGCTTGGAGAGAGAAAAAGCATGAGCCTGGGATCAGACATAATGCTAAGCCAAACCAGGGCTTAACTCCTGGTACTCTACCAGCAGCAGAAGCCTGAGAAAGGTGAAGCAGTCATGGTCTCCTCTCTGTACATCATCATGCCTGTTCATTTGCACTTAGCCATGGCTTGGCTTAGCATTATGTCTGAACCAGGCCAGTGTCTAGCTGAATGACTGCCATGATGAGTGGTATATGTGGATGGGGCTTGTATGTTGGAAGGATTCAGGGCTGGGGTATGTTGCAGTTTCTTGTGAGATCTCTGTTGACGGGAGATGGGACATCCAATGTCAGGGGTCCCTAGGTTTTGGTTTACTTTTCCACATAGAACTGAAGTGCAGTTATTCCAAATTACACTTGAAAGGTAGTACACTTGTTTCATATTTTGTCTAAGTGCATCTATGTTTAAACTCAGATTAGATTATTAATAATTATTCAGATATTGCCCTGTTAAAAAAGTATCACTCTTTCAACTCCAGTCCTGTATTCTTCTAGTTGCCACTTATTTTGTTTGTGACTAGGGCAACACATTTTAGTGACTCATTCCAACTAAAGTGCTTACTAATTTAGACAATGAATTTTGTGAGCTGGAAGAGCCAGAACTAATGAACTAGTTGTTTATGTTCTGTGGACAATCTGAGGCCTTTGTGGTATTTGAATAATGCATTAAAAACAACAACCCAACCATGTCCTTCAAAATGCTGCAGAGAAGTGGAGACAAATCACAATTAAAATTAACTTCATTTTCTGTGGAAACTGTATTGGTAAAGTACAATAATCACATGAAGCCCCATAGATATGGATGAAGGACTAGAAAATAAAGTATCAGAAATGTACAAGATTTGACATTCATGTGTTTACCGTGCTGAAGACAGATGTAAAACATTTTTGTTGAATTGCATCTATGTTGTTGATAATATTTTATACAACCTTTCTTTATACTAAGTCTTTTTCTTGCACTAATGGTGTATCTGAAGCCACTAGTCCCTTCTACTATATAATAGCTTGTTTTTTGTGATTTAGATACAGTATCTTCAACCTTTTCAGACCCACTTTTAACCGAAACATCCATTTGGGGACCCATTTCTTAATCTTTTACCATATATTTGCATGGTGGTGGTGCTCCTGTTGAGACCCACCAGTGGTCCCGATCCACCAGTGATCTAGATGATTATGGTGAGTGTGGAATATCCTGTTTGAAGGGCCTGTAACTGTGGCATGCAGCATTTGGGGAGGACCCATAGCCCCTCAGTAGTAGAGTACATGTTGCTGGAATCTCAGGTAGAGCTAGGAAGGATTCCGGTCTCAAACAGTATACAGTACTGAGCTAGATGAACCAATGATCTGACTCAGTCGAAGGCAGCTTCCTGTGTTTCTAACATTCCCAGCATGCCACGTAGGCATGGATCCAGAGTTGTCCTTCTTTGAACAGAAGGTTCTTTCCATTCATGGAAGGACATCCATCCTTCCACTGACACAAGGAAGGGAGGCAATTTTTGTTGATTCTCCCATCCCCTTGCCAGTGCCATCTCCCATGCTGTTTTTAATGCCCCCACACCAGCCTTCCATAGTAGATTTGTGGGGAGCAAAGTGGGGTGCATGTAGAAGGGTGAATCTGCAGAAATAATGTCCTCCCTTCTGCCAGTGGGAGCATGCTACAGGCAATTTTTAAAAAAATGATCCATTTTTCTTTCAACATTCTTCCAAAAAGTATAATATTGTACAATAATTAGATCAACTTACTTCTACTCTCCTAGCCTGAGCTAATGATACCATGTGGAATTCAGACTGGATGATTTAGTGAAAGAAAACACACATGGAGAAAGACATCTGCAGATGGAAGATATTAAAAACAAAGATGGAAAGCACAAAACAGGTGTTGTCTTCCAAAAGCTGGATGGATGGAAAATGAAAAATAACATCCTTATCAAACAAAACAGTAAAGGAATAGTTCTCAGCAGTGCATTTTCAGTGCTCTCTCTCTCTCTCTCTCTCTCTCTCTCTCTCTCACACACACACACACACACTCACACTGATTCACTTGTACATATAACCAGCAGCTCCCAAACTTCTCCCCACAGACAACTTGGAAATTGCTGGTAATTTTTCTGCTGGTGGTAGCTATTTTAATTTTACATTGCGGGCAATTTACGGTATGTGTTTTAAAACTAGCTTTCTGTAAGACATTGTGAAATCCATTGTGGAGCTTCATAGTGCTAGTGATAAAGATAAGAAATAAGCAATGTCAGATTGCCCTTCAGGAAACTGGTTACTTGTGTGTTATAGTCATAACATGCTTCTTTTATATAGCATTTTTTTTAATTGCAGCCATTAAATCTTCATGAGTTCAAGTAAGGTATTTAAGCTTTTGTGGTATATTGAGGGTTCAGAGAAAACAATAATAAATTCTTCGAATTCATTTCTGTCCTGCTGAACGTCTCTGTCAAAGGGAGCTGATAATTAAGTGATTTGAAATAGGGAGCAGGCTTTCCATGGTTGCAAAAGAAGTGGAACATTTCAAAAGTTAACAAGGAAAATATGAATGTTTTCAAAACAGTAGCTGGGAAATATTTGGGGATTTTGTGTACCGATCAAATAAACTTATATATTCTCATAAATCTAAATAAATTACAGTCTTGTGTGCTCTGTTTTTAGACACAAATACAAATTCTGAGGCTGATTATCCTCTGGCCACATGAATAATTTCCAAGCTCTATTGTTTTTCTATACAGTTTTTGTTTTTTTGTGCTGTCTTAACATAAAATAATTTTGCTTTGATGTAGCATTTTGCATTTAGCAAGAGTCTTTTCTGTTGATTTCTGTTCCTATTGATGTTTTTACACTAGACCCACTTGGACAATTAGTACCATGCAAAATGAAACCAAAAAGGCTTACCATAATTCTAATAATAAGCACTAATTAATTTTGGGGGAAATACTAATTAATGGAGAGAAGGGCCATAGTTCAGTGGTAGATAGAATATCTGCTTTGCTTGCAGAAGAGCCCAGGTAGGGCTGGGAGAGTTCTCTGCCTAAAACCCTATAGAGCACTGCTAATTAGTTTAGACAATACTGAGTGAGATGGACTGAATATAAGGCAGCTTCCTAAGTTCTGCTAATTATCTTTTAGAACAGGGGTCAGCAAACTTTTTCAGCAGGGGGCTGGTCCACTGTCCCTCAGACCTTGTGGGGTGTGGACTATATTTTGGGGAAAAAATATGGACGAATTCCTATGCCTCACAAATAACCCAGAGATGCATTTTAAATAAAAGCACACATTCTACTCATGTAAAAACATGCTGCTTCCCGGACCGTCCGTGGGCCGGATTTAGAAGGCAATTGGGGTGGATCCGGCCCCTGGGCCTTAGTTTGCCTACCCATGTTTTGGAACCTATAACCATGAGTACTATTTTGCCACTCTTCCTGTTCAAGGACTGAAGGACTCAAAGGGACTGAATGTTGTCAGTTCTAGCTGAATGTCCCCCAACTTCCTACTCGGCGACTTCTTTATGGACACATGCATTCAGAAGCAACAATATACTGATATGTAAAAACACATATATGCCACCAAAGGCCTGTCCACATTTCCATTTGCCCCATGCTTTCTAGCCATGGGTCTGAGGGGCTTTTTGTTTGCCCCACCACTCTCCCCAGGAAAACTCAATGTTTACCACTGAATTGTAGCAGACCTCAATCGAGTTTTCTGCAGGTTGGCGTTTGTTGCAATTCATGTCCTCTCATTCAGGACATGTGGAAGTGTGGAATGAGTCCATAGTGGATCCAGTCCTTCTCAGTAGTTTTCAATCATGGACTTAGGAAACCTGCCTGAACATTTATTACAAGTTGTATACTGAAGTGTTGTGGTGCATACAGGTGTGGTGCATGGTAAACTGGAGCTAACCATGGTCATATATTTGGCCATTCTGAAACTTCTGCAAGATTTTTAATAGCTTGCTCCAGGGTTAGTCTGGAGAGCCAGTGTGGTGTAGTGGTTAAGAGCGGTAGTCTTGTAATCTGGGGAACCGGGTTCACGTCTCCGCTCCTCCACATGCAGCTGCTGGGTGACCTTGGGCTAGTCACACTTCTTTGAAGTCTCTCAGCCCCACTCACCTCACAGAGTGTTTGTTGTGGGGGAGGAAGGGAAAGGAGAATGTTAGCCACTTTGAGACTCCTTAAAGGGAGTGAAAGGCAGGATATCAAATCCAAACTCCTCCTTCTTCTTCTTCTTCTTCTTCTTCTTCTTCTTCTTCTTCTTCTTCTTCTTCTTCTTCTCTCAGACTCTCCTTTAATGGACTTTGGAATTGCTGTAGCTCCTAAATTCAGTGCAAGTGTTAGGCTTACAGCTCTTACGTTGTTGTTGTTGTTTAGTCGTTTAGTTGTGTCCAACTCTTCGTGACCCCATGGACCAGAGCACGCCAGGCACTTCTGTCTTCCACTGCCTCCCA